GGGGGTGGGGAGTGGAGGGTGGGGGAGGATGGGGAGGAGGGATGGAGGGGTTGTGGAGGTGGGGTGAGGACGGATGAAGGGGGAGGGGTGGGTGTGGGGATGGAGGGGTGGGGGAGGAGGGATGGGGGTGGGGTGGGACAAAGACGAAGGGACGGTGGGGGCGGGGGTGGGGGGGCCTTACCCAGACACCAGCCTCTCTGCGTCACCAACTGCCATGGAACCTTCCCCCCCCCCAGCCTGGGTAACCCCAGCCCAGCCCCCACCGGCAGCTCCCGGGACAGGTGGAGGGGGGTGTGGGGGGTGGAGGGAGTGTGGGGAGAACACAAGAACGGCTGTACCGGGTCAGACCAAAGGTCCATCCAGCCCAGTATCCTGTCTACCGACAGTGGCCAATGCCAGGTGCCCCAGAGGGAGTGGACCAACAGGCAATGATCAAGTGATCTCTCTCCTGCCGTCCATCTCCATCCTCTGACAAACAGAGGCTAGGGACACCGTTCCTTACCCATCCTGGCTAATAGCCATCAATGGACTTAACCTCCATGAATTTATCCAGTTCTCTTTTAAACGCTGTTATGGCGGGTGGGGGGGAATGGCTGAGTGTGTAGGGGGTGAATGGTGGGATGAGGGGTTTGTCTGGGGAGGGATGGATGGAGGGGTGTGTAGGGGGTTCGAGGGAGGGAGGGATTGGTTCAGTGGAGGGAGGGATGGAGGGAGATGGAGGGGGATGGAGGGAGGGATGGGTGGATGGATGGAGGGTTGGATGGATTGGATGGAGGAGTGTGTAAGGGAAGGATGGAAGGATGGATTGGTTGGAGGGATGGATAGATTGGATGCAGGAGTGGATGGAGGGTTGTGTAAGGGATGGATGGATGGATGGATGGAGGAATGTGTAAGGGAGGGATGGAAGGATGGATTGGTTGGAGGGATGGATAGATTGGATGGAGGAGTGGATGGAGGGTTGTGTAAGGGAGGGATGTATTGGTTGGTTGGATGGATGGATGGATGGAGGGGTGTGTAAGGGAGATATGGAGAGATGGATTGGATGGAGGGAGGGATGGATGGATGGATGGGTGGATGGAGGGGTGGGTAGAGCGAGGGATGGGGCCTGTGTCCGGGGCTGGAGGGACAGCAGGACAGTGGCCCAGGGTGGTAGAGTAGCCGAGGAGGACGCCAGAGCGGGGGTCAGGCCGCAGCAGAGGGCTGCCCCCAGGGCTAACCATACCAAGGCCGGGCCTACGCCACCCTCCAGACAGCCACCCCCGGAAAAGGCTCGGACACCACGGGGCAGGACCAGCCCTCCAGCCATCGCTTGTCCCTCAGCCTCTGGCCCAGCCCGGGGGATGATGGCTCATCTCCACGGTGGGTGGGGGGTGGATTTACGAAGGGGTGCGGCCCAGAGCAGGGGTGGGGAGGGACCATTAGCACAGGCTTCTCCCCCAGGCCCAGGCAGCTCCCCCCGACACCTGCTGTCTGCTCCGCCCCCTCCCTCAAAGGGTTAACCCCGTCCCAGGGCCCAGACAGCGCCTCTTGTTCTGGGGTGGCGCCATGTGAGCACCCAGGGGAGGAGCAGGAAAGTCCCATTACATCCCCCCCACATCTCTACCCAATGGGTCCGCCCAATTGCTAGGTCCAATTCTACAGCCTATGCTCCCCCATTCCCCGCCCCCCTGAGCCAGCCAGTCCCCCACCCTGGGGCCGGATCAGAGCCAGTGCCCCCAACAGGGGAAAGGCCGCATGTCCCATTCCCCAGCCCCTCATGAGATTTGCTTGTAACCATAATCACCCTGCAGCAGTGAGTTCCCTGGGTTAACACTGATATGACCCCCCGCCCCCCCGAGATAAGCCCACTAATCCCCTGGGACAGGCAGTCCTGCAGGCCAACCCCACTAATAGCAAGATGCAGGGAGTCCCACGGGTTAACCCCACTACTTCCCAGGGGCAGGGAGGAATGCAGGTTAGCCCTATTAGTACCCAGTAACAGGTTAACGCTGTTAATAGCCAGTGTCGGGAGTTCCAGGGGTTAACCCTGCTAACACCCAGTGGCAGGCAGTACTGCAGGCTGACCTCGCTAATACCCAGTGGCAGGGAGTCCCACAGGTTAGCCCACTAATACCCAGTGGCAAGGAGTCCCGCAGGTTAACCTCAGTATTCTAATATAATCAAAACACCGTGGACGCACTGAAAGTACAAAAATAGAGACGTATATTTTGAAAATCTTACAGTAAAACCCACCACTGGTTTGGGGCAACGCAGCCGGGGTGGATCTCAGAGTTAGAAACGACCAGTGGGGTGAAATATCGCTTTTCAAAGCTCTATAACTGTGATTTGCAGGGGTTAAGTAATATCCAGTGGCCGGGAGTCCCAGGGGTTAACACTATTACACCCAGTAGTAAAATTGCACCCGGTGGCAGATGTGATCGGTTCCTCCACAATCTACAGGGTTTCAAGCCCTCCCCCTTTCACCCTGCCCTTATGGGGTCGTTGAACCTTTCAAGACCCTGAAATATTCCCCTTTTAGCCCTTAGGAAATCGGAGAAGGTAGAAAAATCCTCTCTTCTTAACCTTGCACGATCCTACATGCATCTCACTCCGCTCCAGCCCCCGGGGGTTAATGGGATCTGGCACAGGGACCAGCTGATACTAGGGGTGTCACCCCATTGGGTGTCTAGTGTTATGTCATCAAGGGATACCAAATCTGATTGGGCATCTCTGGGGGGCAGGGGTGTGACCAACTGGGACTGTTCTTAATGTTTCCTCTGAATACTGTGTGGGTGCCTCAGTTTCCCCCATGCATTTCTTAAGTCTCTAGGGGGTGAGATTGTTGCAGAGCAAGGGGCCAGTGTGCATAAATGGCCGACACTCTGTCTCCTGGCAACTAATGGCCGGGGCCCTTCCCCCCTGCAAGGAGATAGCTATAGGTGTTGGAGAACAAAGGAATCAGGTGACCTCCTGGCCCGGGAAAGGAACAAAGCAGAGGAGGAGGGGCCGGAGGGGGAGTCAGTTTGGAGCTGGCTGCGGAAATGGAGGGGAGCCCAGATGGGGCTCTGGCCTCCCTGGGGCCCCCCAAGATGGACCGGACTGAGGGGGTCCTGTTATCTGTACCTGCAAGACCTGTCTTGGACGGGGTTCCTGTCATTTAAATAAACTTTCTGTTTTACTGGCTGGCTGAGAGTCATGGTGAATTGCAGGAAGCCGGGGGCGCAGGGCCTTGTCTCCCCCACACGCCGTAACAAGGGGACATGGTTATGTGGACATCAGTGTATGCCCAGGGAAGCTGGCATGCGGCCTGGGGCTGGTGGGCGCGTGAGGTCTTTTACAGGTACATGTGGGAACTAAACCATCCCTGGCAGGGGCAGGTGGCTATAGACAGGTATGGGTGGTTTGGTTAGTTTTCCAGCGATCCCACTTTTGGCACCAGTTCACACTAGCTAAATCCCACTACTGACACCAGTTTTCCCCTCTCTTTATCACACTGCTAGCATCATGTTGCTCCCAGTGACTGGACTTATTACCTCAGTCCCTGACATGGTCTAGGCGTATCCCACTTCCCCCACCATGTCGTCACCAGCCGTCCCACCGCTCACCCCCATGGCTCTAGCTATTATTATTCCTAGCTATACAAGCAC